AAAAAAAAAAAAAAAAAAAAAAGAAAAAGAAAAGGACTGAAGATGTAGCCCTGTGTTGTGGCTTGTTTAAAAAATTCCCCTAAAGCCTCATACAGTCATAGGTAGGGCTTTTTGGAGTTGGCCGGATCTAGAGTGTGTATTGTTGGGATGAAATGTGTAAAGTTGAGGTTATGGTGTGTGATTACTAAATTAGCTCACTAATTGGTTTGGCGTGATTCTGGCTGTGGGTAATGGAAAGCCTCACCCTGGGTGTGTGTGCCGCTTGCCCTGAGGGCATGTATTTGCTGCTTTGCTACCTTGCTGTTTGCTGCTTTCTGCCTGCCACAAACTGTTTCTCCTCCATGATGCCCCTCTGCTATGCTACCTGCCTTAAAGGCAGCCAATTATGAACTGAAGCTTCTATAAACTGGGCTACGATAAACTTTCGCTCTTTTAACTTTGGGTGTTGGGTATTTTGTCTCAGTAATTAGGAAAGTAACTAAGACACCCTGAGTTCAATCCCCAGTACAAAAAATGTGACAGCGTGGACTTTTCATGAAGCTTTTATTTCACTGGCATAAGTTAAAAAAAAATTAATATACATTTCTGTATAGAATTTAGTACTTCCCACAGATACTAATACTGTTGTTACAATTAGAGCTACTATGTCCATGACTTAGCTTTCATGTACTGTGAAATTATAATCTGATTGTTGTGTGCATTAGTGATACTTTCTTAGCAATTTTATTTTTAACGAATCTTATTTTGTGTGTATTTGTTTTCTTATTTAAAGGAAAGAACGCTTGGTATATGTGGGTATAAGTATTGAAAACATCATTCCTCCACAAGTAAGTTTATAGTTTATAGTACTTATAAAGAAAAGGCTGCTGTGATTGTTTTAAAATTTACTGTATCTTATTTTACGTGACTAGTTTTAAATATATACCTGTTTTATTAAAATTGGAAGTTTAAGACATTAGATCTCCCATAGTCTCATGATTGATATTATGTGTATACCTAAAACTGTGATATCACATCCAAACTAAAATTTATAGCTCATTTCTTTGGAGAATGTGTCTTGTTTTTTAACCATAATCTATATAATCTGTGTTTAGCTTTTTTGTGTATTTATGTAAAATGACTTTCTGTTTATTTGTTCATTGAGACAGGTTCTTGTTGTTTCAGGCTGGCCTTGAATCAGTATGTAACTCAGGCTGGCCCTGAACTCAAGGCAATCCTCTTGCCTTAGCCTCTCAAATGGTAGGATTACAGGCATGTACCACCATGCCCAGGAATTTATGTAAAATGATTAAAGGATAGTTGAGGAAGAGCTGGCTTTTTATTCCTTGCTTTGGGAGTAATTGAAACTTTAATTTGTATTCCTACTCATACTTTGGTTTCTTTCTTTGAAGGATTACAGTTGTCTTGCATTTTTGAGTCTGTAAATACAAAGGGTATTAGTGAGTGAAAATACTTGAATCATAGTTTCCCACTTGAAGATATTTTCTTCATAAACAGTTTTGTTCAGGCTTATTTAATCAATTAAATCATAGGCTTAAATAGCTTGTCAAGTTATTTTCCTTTAGAGTAATTATGTCTTTTAAGTCAGTTATTTAATTCATTCAGTATACACCTTGAATATCCTAAGTGTGTCAGTTATTGGTTAAAAAGTTTTATTGGTGAAATAACTTCATTCTGGTCATTGTTAAGCAGGTAATTGTAATGTCATAGTAATGCAAGAATTTTAATACAGAAGTATTTAATCCTTTGATCACAACTGTTCTTTTTTAGTCTATATAATAATTAGTATTCCCATGTATATTCAGTTTGGGGAGGGTCATCTCAAACTTTTTTTGATACCGGGGATCAAACTCAGGACCTTGCAGTAGCAAGGCAGGCAATGGCACCACTGAGTTAAATCCGCAGCCCCCATCTCAAATTTTTTTCAAACCTTAATATTGCTGCCTAGATGGATATTACAGAAGTATTAATTCCAAAAACTTTATTCTTTCAAATCTATGTACTTACTATATTTTTAAAGGAACCAGATTTTTCTGAAGATCAAGAAGAAAAGAAAAAAGATTCAAAGAAATCCAAACCAAACTTGCTTGAAAGAAGGTCAACAAGAACACGGAAATGCATAAGCTACAGGTATGAATTATATGGAAATGGCTATAGTCAAAGAGTATAAAATATTTTTACAATTAACATGACCCCAAAACATTTGCCTTTTCCCTTCACAGTGATTTTTAGTAGTTGTATATACAAATATCCCTTGGTATCTGCTGGAAATTGATTCTAGGACCAGTGGTGGACTGTATGTTTGTTCCTTAGCACTGCAAAGAAGAAAAAAAAATCCAGGATTCCCATGCATACCAAAATGTGCAGATACTCAAATCCCTTGTATAAAAATGTAGTACTCACATATAACCATCACATCTTCTCTTATATTTGAAATATCTCTAGGTCACTTATAATACCTAATACAATGTAAATGTATCAGGCTTTACTGTATTGCTTAAGTAGTAACGGGAAAAAATGTGTAGATATTCATCAATTTTTCTCTTAATATTTTCATCCAGCAGTTGGTAGAATCCGTAGATGTGAAACATTTGAGTACTAAGCATTCATCTATTTATTTCTTACGTTTGATCTTTAGTGTCACACAATTTTGGAGCAGTTATCTTTTCCAAACTTCAATATCCTCAGGCCAAGGTAGAAGGATTACTATGAGTTGGAGGCTAGCCTGGACTACCCAGTTCAAGGTCAACCTGAACGCAAAAAAAGAAAAGAAAAAGTCTGCAGTGCTCCATTTAGTCTTATCTTTATTTCCTTTCCATCTCCACTTCATCCACATTTTTCTTTGCCCACTGTACATTCACTACACTGTCATTTTGTAGACTCTGCATGTGATGTTTGCTTTGTCTGCCATTTTCATCTCATTTTTACTTTGTTAACCTTTGCCAGATCAAATTTCACCTTTGTATACCTTCATAACAACCAATTCTTCCTTTGAAAGCACTTTCATTTATATCATGTGTGGTTAAAATTACTTTATTAGTTTCTTTCCCTCACTAGACTGTTAGTATAAAAGGTAAAGACTATGGCTTATGCATCCTTGTATACCCTACACCAAGCATGGTGTTGGCAAACAATAAGAGGCTAAATAGTAAAAGAATTAACAAATGTAATCTGGTTTCCTTTTGTTGACACAGATACCAGAAGGAGAAATTTTTTCCATTATCACTCTGTTTGTAGCTTAGTCTACTATTAAAACCTTATCATTTGATTGTTTCCTCATTCAGTGTTCTTTCCACTAAATCATACTGTCTTACTCAAAATAATAAATTACATTTTTTATTATTTAAAGAGAAAAGCAAATGCCACATGCCTATAATCCCCACATTTGGGTAGCTAAGGCAGGAGGATCACTGTGACTTTGCGGCCAGTCTGGGTTATATACCAAGTTCAAGACCAACCTGAAGTATACAGTGAGACCTTGTCTCAAAAAAAAAAAGGGGGGGCTGGGGATTTAGCTCAGTGGTTCCACCACTTGCCTCAAAAGTGCAAGGTCCTGAGTTTGATCCCCGGTACCGGAAGGAAGGAAAGAAGGGTAGATAAAAATTTTTAAAGGATATAAATGTAATAAAAATGCGAATGATGTAATATAAATTAAATGATTAAGAAATCCATAAATACAATAAATGTTTCCTTTAGCTTTGAAAAATGTTTGTAGAAGTGGAGGGTGACAGTTTGTAAATTATAATGTGGGGAAAGAAGCATTGTCTGAAATCAAGCACAAATGTTTTAAATTATTTTATATATTCCTATACAGCTCTGTTCCGCTAGGTGTAGTTTTCTGTATTTACCTAGTGTGTCTCACAAATCAAATAGTACATTAGCTACTGTAAGATAACATGTTCTGCTTGAATTGTTTTACATCAGTCACACTGAACAAATTTGCATTTTCAAAGCAAGCACTATAGCAGAAATGAGTAGTATGTAGTCCCCTGATCCTGTTGTAATTGTGGATAGAAAAGCAGAGATGTTATTAAGAAATTCATCACTGTCATCATTTAATAATTGTGTGTGATTCTTAAGAGAGCATTAGATTGAGGATCAAAAGATTAAAAATATAGTCTTCAATTTGCCACTTACTGGAGCATGTCTTTGAGTGATCCCTGTCCCTTTTCTTGGTTGCCACATCTGTGATGATTGATTATCACAGATGATTTCTTTCAGGTCTAAAGTTATATAATGTTAATATAGGAACTTAGAGTAAACCATTTTTTTATAGCATAAAATGTATTATGTGGTACATTTCCATAGTCTACCTACTACTCAAAAGATTTAGGGAAGGCGTATAACCTTAGTATAGGGAGTAACTTGAAGCATAACACCAAAATCAGAAACAATAATGGAAAAGATATTTTAACCTTAGTATAGGGAGTAACTTGAAGCATAACACCAAAATCAGAAACAATAATGGAAAAGATAATGGAAAAGATTACATAAAAATTAAAAACTAAAAGGACTCAGACAAAAGCATTTACAAAGGAAAATGTGTACAAAATAGTTAGAATTTCAAAGGAATGGCTTTTGAACTTAATACAATTCATGAATGTTTTTTCATAGTGGAAATACAGTCTTTTTAGTCATGTGATGATTACAAGTAATTATCACATACATTCAGACAATAATATTGCTGAGGATAAGGATTTCTTTTCTGTTATTATTGTTGCTATTCTTGTTGTTATAGACTCTATTAGTTAAGAAAAGGTACAGTTTCAATTCTTCTACCCCCTCCCTATTTACCAACTCTGTTTCCATTTTTTCCTTTTCTCATATTTATTTTTTTATTTTGTCTTGGTCTTTTTCTTTAAATCAGAAGAAAGGGCCCTTGAGGTATAAGTAAATTTAACTAGTTATACAGTTTTAATTGTTGGTATATGAACTTCCATAATAATAATATACATTTCAGATGCAGTAATAATCCTAACAGTATTATTTGTAGAACAGTAATTTTATTCAATTTATGTTGTGTGATTTGTATAATTAAGGACAGTCTATAGGCCAAATCCAGTTCAGTGCTAGTTATTGTACATCCTGTGACCTAAGAATGGTTTTTACTTTATAATAATTGAAAAAAGAATAAAAATAATAATTGCAATAACTAGGCCTAGCAACACACTCCTGTAATCTCTCCATTCTGGGAGGCTGAGGCGGGAGGATTGTAAATTCTAGCCCAGGCTGGACAACTTAGTGACTTAGCCAGACCCTGTCTCAAAAGAGGAGAGGGGTGCTTGGAGTTGTAGCTCAATGTAAAGGTCCTGGGTTCAATCTCCAGTACCACAAGGGAAGGTAGTGTATGAGACTAATAATATTTTATGAAAATTACATGTAATTCAAATTTCATTGTCCATAATAAAGTTTACTTAGAATACAGCCATACTCATTTCCTTACATTCTGCTTGTGCCTGCTTCTCCGTTACAGTGGCCTACTTAATAGTTACAACGAAGACTGCATAACCTTACAGCCTAAAATATTTAATCTGTCCCTTTTGGAAGCTTTTTTTTTTTTGTACCAGAGATTGAGCTTGGAACATTGTGCTTGCTCTCTTTGCCCTCTTTTTATGAGAGTATTAATCTAATTCTTGAGGGCCCCACTTCTCAGTACCATTGCTTTGGTAGTTAGGATTTCAACATTTGAATTTTGGATCAACACAGTTATACCATAGTAGATAGCTCATTTTTAAAAATAAAAAACCAGATGGGTGTGGTAGTGCATGCCTGTAATGCCAGCATTTGAGGTGCTGAGTCAGCAGGATTGCAATGAGTTCAAGGCCAGCCTGAACTACATAATGAGACCCTATCTCAAAAAAAATGCCCAAACAGGGCTGGGCATTTAGCTCATTGGCACTGCGCCTGCCTCACAAGTGCAAGGTTCTAATTTCAATCCCCTGTATCAAAAAAACCACACACACAAAACTAAAAGTCAGAAAAACACGCTTCTTGCCTCGCAAGAGCAAGGTCCTGAATTCAGTCCCCTGTACCCCCACCCTCCCAGAAGTCAGAAAAGAGAGCCAGGCATGGGATTGCACACTTGTAATCCCAGCATTGAGGCAGGAGGATTGGGAGTTGAGTCCTGGACAACTTACAGACTGAGAAAGACTTTCAGAAAAAAAACTTTGTGATAGCTCAACCTGAAGGTCCTATGTTCACTCCCCAGTAGCACCAAAAATAAGTAAATACATACATACACACATATAACATTCATAACGTACATTCCAGGACAGGCTGTAATGTGGTTGTTGTGTATATTTTAGATTTGATGAGTTTGATGAAGCAATTGATGAAGCTATAGAAGACGATATCAAAGAGGCTGATGGAGGAGGTATGAGTTTATTATTTTTTGTAATTGCCAACACATTATTTCAAATTCCCAAATTATTTACTGTTTCCAAATAGAATACTAATGAAACTTTTCTTATGTCTTTTGAAACTACAAAGTCTCAAAATAATCAGATAATCATCATAATTAGAATTTGAAGGGTTTATTTAAAATAGCGTATTAAAAACTCATTTACTAATTTCATATTCTTCAAAGATGACATTAAAATAGAAGTGATTTAGCTCAGTGGGTTCCACCAACTGCCTCTCACAGTCTCAAGGATCCAGAGTTCTATCCCTGGTACCCCAAAAAAAAGGTATTTGAAGGAATTTATCGATTTAAGAGTCTGTATAGTTTGAAGGTGGGGAGGGGAGGAGGGGGGGAAGGGAGGGTGGGGACAAGGGAAAAAATGAGAATAAAAAAGGTATTTGAAGGAATTTATCGATTTAAGAGTCTGTATAGTTTGAAGGTGGGGAGGGGAGGAGGGGGTGAAGGGAGGGTGGGGACAAGGGAAAAAAAATGAGAACCAAGACCTGGCATGTAAAGGTACAAGATCCTAGTAATGAATGCAACTGTACTGTATACCTAGAATGTACCAATAAATTCAATTAGAAAAAAAAAAAAAGAGTCTGTATAGCTGAGTACCTCTGCTCTGAAGTGGAAATATTCTTGTTTCCACTGGGTTATGATGAAAACTCTGGAAAAGATTAGGTAGGATTTTTGTGATGGAACCTGTTTTTCCAGAAATGTCTACGTTACTTATATCCTTGCCCACCTTTTCTGTCCTGCAAACGTGATTTAGGATGAAGAAAATGATTTGACATCTTTCTTGAGATTTTTTTTTTGTGACTGCTAATAGGTAGTAGATTTCTTTTTGGTAAAATGAGAATGTTCAAATTGCTTAGTGGTGATGGTTGCACAACTGTGACTGTAGTAAAAACCTCTGAATTACATATTTCCAAGTGCCACCAAAAAAATATTGTTACGTGAATTAGTACAAAAAGTAAGAGGTTCTCTACATTATGAGTTTTAGTAGTATAAACAAATTCTCTCTGTCTTGACAGTTCTGTTACCTGAAATTGTGAGAAATCAGCATATTTGCAGGAAGAATTCAAATGAATGACAGTCTATAAATTAGGTGCAAGATTTAATAAGCACAGTTATTTTTCCCCCTCAGGAGTTGGACGAGGAAAAGACATCTCTACCATCACAGGTCACCGTGGGAAAGACATCTCTACTATCTTAGAGGAAGAAAGAAAAGAAAATAAACGACCCCAGAGGGCAGCTGCTGCTCGACGGAAGAAACGCAGGCGTCTAAATGATCTGGATAGTGACAGCAACCTGGATGAGGAAGAGAGTGAAGATGAATTCAAGATCAGTGATGGGTATGTGGTCTGCCAGTGACCTTGTTTTCTAGATACCAGTTTCCATAGACCTGAGCAGGCAGAAAGCCTTGGCCATGCTGCAATATATCTTTTGCTTTTGCTGTACATAGGTAATCTCTGTTTACTTTTAGGGTGTTAAAAACAGATTCAGAATGCTGATTCTGGTTCTTTTTTTAGAGTAAAATAAAACCTAGTTTTATGGTTGCTTTAGCATTTAATGTTATAGCTGGGCATGACGGCACACACCTGTAATCCCAATACTGTATGAGGTTGTGGCAGGAAAATTACAAGTTCACTGTGGAGCTCTGTGACTTAGCAAAACCCTGTCTCAAAAAAAAAAAAAATTTTTTTTTTTTTTTTTTGATGCTGGGGATTGAATTTGGGACGTTTCACCTGCAAAGCAGGCAGCGGAACTGCTGAGCTAAATCTCCAGCCCACCCTGTCTCAAAATTGAAAGTACTGTGGATGTAACTCAGTGCAAAGGCCCTGAGTTTATTCCCTGCAATCACCAAAAGAAAAAGTTTGAAATTATACCCAGCCATGATAGTGTGTACCTATAATCCCAGTATCCTGGGTGGCTGAGGTAGGAGTATTGTAAGTTCAAGCCCATCCTAGGCAGTTTAATAAAACTTGGCAAGATCCTGTCACAAAGTAAAAAATAAAAAGAACTGGCCATGCTGCTAAATAGAAGGCCCTTGGTTCAGTACCCATTAAACACACACACACACACATGCACACATGCACACACACACACAGTTAAGTTTAAGTACAGTTGAACTTTCCTTTTTTGAGAGTTTCCTCTCTATGTCTGTGCTACTTTTAGCTACTGAGTTAAGAGGGCATTACCATTCAGATGTGAGAAGTATACAAGTAATTAATATCCTCTGGTGAGGTTGGGAATGGGTCAAGTCATCCATTGTGGAAGGTTAGGGAAACCTGAATAGAGTAGGTATTGAAACAGTACTGCAGACTTGTACCTTTCAGATTATTAATGGAGATAATAAGCATATAAAACATAGAAAAGTTATTGTACCCCTGAAGTACCTGTAAAACATAAATGAAAGGGTACTAAGAACGATTAGTTCAATCCAAGGAGGTCTGTGGAAGCTTCACAGTAGATGTAAAGCTTTGAATATTTGGGCAGATCAGTGAGTTTAAGATTAGAAGCAAGCTAAGGAAAGAAGGCTTTCTAAGCAACAAAGACACAAGGTGGCTTGCCATTAAATGTCGTGGATTAATTGGGAAACTCCTGATGGCTCAAGGATATCAAGAATATGGGGATGAAATAGAAAATGTCCTGGTGGATCTTTAAAAAAGAACCAAATTATGGAGTGTTTTATTTGTCATGCATTACATTTTTGGCTTTGTCCTGAAAATGATGAAAAGCTACTGAAGGGTTTAGATATAAGAAATGCAAAGGGAGCTGGGGATTTAGCTCAGTGGCACCGCATCTGTCTTGAAAGCGCAAGGTCCTGAGTTCAATCCCTGGGATCAAAAAAAAAAGAAATGTAAAAGGAAAATTTAGGTTAAATACAGTTACCAGATTTGTGCTTTTAGTTACTGGATAGTGATGATATCAGATACCAATCTGAGAAACAGAAGGAGTATGTTGGGAAATAATGAGTTCGCTTAGGACTTGGCTGAATTTTAGTATATGGGGGACATCATAGGAAGCTACTGTAACTTAGGTATAAAAAATCAGCATCGGACCGGGGATTTAGCTCAGTGGTTCTGCTGCCTGCCTCACAAGCACAAGGTCCCAAGTTCAATCCCCAATTAAAAAAAAAAA